CTTAAAGGGTGTTATTTCGAGCTTATCAAAATAACATCTCGACGTGAATCGATCGAGGTCGAACCCATCTCTTTGTTGGCGAAGGCCATTGGTCTTAAAGGGTGTTATTTCGAACTTATCGACATAACAACCCGTCGTCGTTCGATCGAGGTCGAACAATTCTCTTTTTTGGTGAAGGCCCTTGGCCTTAAAGGGTGTTATTTTGAACTTATCGAAATAACAGCCCGTCGTCGTTTGATCGAGGTCGAACCCTTCTCTTTTTTGGCGAAGGAACTTGGCCTTAAAGGGTATTATTTCAAACTTTTCAAAATAATAGTCCATTGTCGTTCGATCGAGGTTGAACCTTTCTCTTCTTTGGTGAAGGCCCTTGGCCTTAAAGGGTGTTATTTCGAACTTATCGAAATAACAGCCCGTCGTCGTTCGATCGAGGTCGAACCTTTCTCTTCTTTGGTGAAGGCCCTTGGCCTTAAAGGGTGTTATTTCAAACTTATCGAAATAACAACCCATTGTCGTTAGATCGAGGTCGAACCTTTCTCTTCTTTGGCGAAGGCCCTTGGCCTTAAAAGGTGTTATTTCGAACTTATCGAAATAACAGCCCGTCGTCGTTCGATCGAGGTCGAACCTTATCTTTTTTGGCGAAGGCCCTTGGCCTTAAAGGGTTTTATTTCGAACTTATCGAAATAACAGCCTGTCGTCGTTCGATCGAGGTCGAACCTTTCTCTTCTTTTGCGAAGGCCCTTGGCCTTAAATGGTGTTATTTCAAACTTATCGAAATAACAGCCCATCGTCGTTCGATCGAGGTCGAACCTTTCTCTTCTTTTGCGAAGGCCCTTGGCCTTAAATGGTGTTATTTCAAACTTATCGAAATAACAGCCCATCGTCGTTCGATCGAGGTCGAACCTTTCTCTTCTTTGGTGAAGTCCCTTGGCCTTAAAGGGTGTTATTTCGAACTTATCGAAATAACTGCCCATCGTCGTTCGATCGAGGTTGCACCTTTATCTTCTTTGGCGAAGGCCCTTGGCCTTAAAGAGTGTTATTGCAAACTTATCGAAATAACAGCCCATCGTCGTTCGATCGAGGTCGAACCCTTCTCTTTTTTGGTGAAGTCCCTTGGCCTTAAAGGGTGTTATTTCGAACTTATCGAAATAACTGCCCATCGTCGTTCGATCGAGGTTGCACCTTTATCTTCTTTGGCGAAGGCCCTTGGCCTTAAAGAGTGTTATTGCAAACTTATCGAAATAACAGCCCATCGTCGTTCGATCGAGGTCGAACCCTTCTCTTTTTTGGTGAAGTCCCTTGGCCTTAAAGGGTGTTATTTCAAACTTATCGAAATAATATACCGTCGTCGTTCGATCAAGGTCGAACCTTTCTCTTCTTTAGCGAAGGCCCTTAGCCTTAAAGGTTGTTATTTTGAACTTATCGAAATAACAACCCGTCGTCATTCGATCGAGGTCGAACCTTTCTCTTCTTTGGGAAGGCCCTTGGCCTTAAAGGGTGTTATTTCAAACTTATCGAAATAACAGCCCGTCGTCGTTCGATCGAAGTCAAACCCTTCTCTTTTTTAGCGAAGGCCCTTGGCCTTAATGGGTGTTATTTCAAACTTATCGAAATAACAGCCCATCGTCGTTCGATCGAGGTCGAACCCTTCTCTTTTGTGGCGAAGGCCCGGCCTTAAAGAGTGTTATTTCGAACTTATCGAAATAACAGCCCGTCGTTAGTCCCAATTTTTGGAGAGTTGGACATCTTCCGTGGGAGTCCCAGTTTGTTTGGTATTGTTTGCACCATATGGTGCAACGCTGGTGAATACGAGGTGTTGACGTTTCACTTAGCTTCGTGTTGTGTACGCGTTATAATTTTCTTGTCTGACTCCTACCGTCCAGCTCGGAGACGTTACCGACAAGAGGTATTTCGGCTGTATTGAAGTAATTTTTGTCTTTCAATCGATATGTTCCTTTGTACGTTCACCACGTGTGTCTTATGTGCTTGCTTGGACAAAGAGTGGGGGGGTGAGGATGAGCTTTTCTTCGCTCCCGCCCGGTGGTCCGGTGCGGGAGAACAGGTTGGTAACCCCGTTTTCCTTATTTAGTATATCTGCAGTTGATGGGGTGAGGATTTCTAGGCTTGGTAATCCTACTTGACTCTTCTTCCCTTACTGCGCTGCTCCCATGTCTCGCGTGGGTTGGATTCTCCCATCGTGCTTCTTTTGGTGGGTGATTGTGTTTCTTGGCTTTGATCTGGGAGAAACTAGGAATTTTCACTAAGAAATTCCCATAGACGGCGCCAAATTGTTTGACTCAAAAGATATTAAAACCCTTTTGAACAAATCAATCAAAGATGAAGGGGTAAATCTTAGCCAGACATAATTAATTCAAATCAAAAAGTTAACAGCAATGACTGCACATGGGATGAAAGAAATATGATTGATTTCATTAGGATTCAACCTTGTGTCTCTCATCAATCGATGAGGAAATAAGCTTACATATTTTCTTCGAGTTCGTTTCCTCTTTCTCTAGAATACAAGAAGAGAGCTTTTTGTTTTCTCTCCCCCCAGCCCTCTGTGGGGAGAGCTTTCCCTGGCTATATATAGTCAGGGCATCCTTGCCCTTTGCTTGACTTGACATCTTCTTACCGCTAATATGTCTTGGCTATGATTTTAGGCGTCACCCTTACCGATTCGTCGGATGTCATAGAGGAGAAATGGAGTGAGCTCTATTAACTTTCACTGTCCAGTTACTGAGGCGGCATGTCGGTCAACTTAGTCGTGACGGTCAGATTTTGACTAATATATGTAGTGAGAGGTGAGGGCTAATAGAAGAAACCCCCCCCCCCCCCAAAAGAATGAATGATTATTGTTGAAGTTGAAGTGGATTCACAATTGATAACTTCTCACGACTAGTTCTTTTTCTCTAGTTGATTAACAATCATTATCTTCATCATTAACAAAAAAGATGCATGGTTAATAATGTAAAGATTAGGAGAAAAGATAAACGACAGAAAAGGCTAGTTATACACTAGTAATTAACATGTTGTATGGAAAAGGTGGTTAATAAAAGGTAACCGTAGAAAGTTTTTAAGGAGCTTTTGCTTTCACGTTTCATGACAAGGAAAAAGGCAAAGGGCACTGTTTGTTTTGTTTTGTTTACTAGTAAGTAGGGAAAACGGGTATGAGAAAAAAGGGGAAAGGAATAACGTGGAGAAGGCTAGAGCCGTGCAAAAGTAGTTGAAATAAATAGATTGCTTATAATTTAGAAGCAAAAAGAAGAAGAAGAGGGTCATTGTCTTAAACAGAAGACGCACCTATACACACGAGGGCCTGGAAAAGCACCAAAACTACAAAAGATGTGGTTCCCCGCACGTGTATTCGCTCCTCCCTTTTTCTTTCACAGGAATATCATTCCCTCTTTCCCCAACTGTTGTACTCATTTTCCGTTGAAAACATCTTTTGAAACTTGAACTGCTATTAATAAAAATATAGGTTTTTTTTTTTATTTTTAGCCCGCGGTAAAAACTATTTGTATTTGATGGTCGAAAAAGTATATAAAATTTATATATAACATATAGAATGTATATATATATATATATAAATTATTTTTTCAGCTATTATTTTGAAAGCGACTATACAGTGTCATTTTCCCAAAAACCATATGCAGTAGGTGTTTGGACATAAAATTTTACTTTTTGAAAAAAGTAGTTTTTGGAGTTAATTTGAAAAATGGTATTTGAAATTTGAAATTATATTTGGACATGTATTTCCCTTGAAAAATATTGCAGTTTTGTGAGTGGAGAAATTTTTTTTTTGAATAAATTTAAAAAAATGGTCAAAATCACTATTTGATTTTTAAAAAAATTCTTTTTAAAAAAACAAAAACTTACAAAATTTTATGGACAAACACAATTTTGAAAAAAAATTCGAAAAAAAAATCATGAACAAATGGGTCCGTAGTAGTACTTATATGTCATAAGAAATTTAAATTTTATACGACATTGTCAAAAATGTTTAAAAAGTTTAGTTATTTATAAGATAATGAAAGGTAAATATTTTTTATTAGTATTACTACCTGGTAAAAATGTTAATGAATATAAAATAACATGTTACAATTGCGATGATAGTGAAAATTTCTTTTACAATTTCAAAGTATTTAACTTAAATTCTAAAGAGAAAACTATTTTTATCGTTTGAGAAAAAGCTAGCGTTTTAAATATTTTAATTACAAACTATAATTTATAATATTTTTATGTAGGTTTATAGATTTATCTTTTAAAATGTTTTATATATATATATATATATATATATATCATTACAAGTAAATGTGTTAATTCATATGCTCTGACCTATTTCTTTATTATTTTATATACGAAAATTAACTTCTGACTCTTTATGTCTATGTGGAACTACCTTGATGCCTAATTTCAATTTAGCTATTCCTTCCGTTCTAAATCAGACGAGGTACTTTTTTTTAGTATGTTTTAAAATAAAAAATATATTTTTAAATTTGAAATTAATTTAACTTTAAACTCTTTATTTTATATATTTTTACCCTTAATAAAAAACTTTTATACTCACACAAATATCATAGTTCCACAAAGTTTTATACCTTAAGGTTTTAAGTTTTAAATTTTTTCTTCTTTCTTAAATTTCGTGCCTAGTCAAATTAACTTATCTAAATTGAGAAAATACTAATTTTTAAATTCAATTAGACCATTTTTACTCCTTAATTGGAGTACTATATACGAAACAAAATAAAGCGCTAATCTAGCAACTAAGATTAGATAAAAGGCTGACATTGAGGAGAAAAAACAAAAGGAAAAGAAACCAAACAACTCACAGCTCACGACGGTCACGTGATCCGAGTAAAAACTTAAGCGGTGGCGCATTACGCATCATCTTCTGTCACCCGATACAACATCCCTTTCCTTACTGTCTTCTAACAATACATATATAAATGCGCACCCCTGGCGTCAGTTTTGCTATTAATAGCCCAGCCTATCTATCTTGCGCCGCTTACAGAAAATGGCACCTCATTAAATTTGACCGTAACCCAAGGACATTTCCGCCATTCCATACTTCACTAATAATTCCAATTTTCCAAACATTATCCACACCCACCACCTCCCCATCTTCGTAATAATACCACAGATCTTTGCTTTAATGTTCCTTTGACCCCACATTTCCCTACATAATTACAAAATAACAGCTAGAGAGAGACTCAACTCAGTTTTTTCGTGATTTCATTTCATTTCTAACTTTTTCTTTCATCTTTTATTAATAAATCGCTGTCATTTCTCGATGTTTGCGTTTGTTCTTCTTCGAATGTCTCGCGATCTTCCTTGTTAAATTCCGGCCGTTCAGTTACCGGAAAGTTCATCATTCTTCGCCGGCGAACAGATTTTTTTTTTTTGTATTTTGATCAGCATGAGTAGCGTACAGAATACAGTAGATACGGTAAATGCTGCTGCTACTGCCATAGTTACTGCAGAGAGTAGAGTTCAACCCTCTTCAGTTCAGGTATATAGCTATATATAATTTTTCTGTTTCTCTGTATTTATGATAGTATGTAAATTTTTATATATTAAGATGTCACTTTTTAAAATAATAGGTTTATGATGATGAAGTTAAAATCGAGTATTGAAAATTCTTGTGTTAACTTTTATCCTTTTCTTGTTTATAATGATTTGATGCAAATTTCTTGCTGTTGTGAAGTTAAAGGTGAAAGCTTAAAGCCTTTTATTTCTGTTTTTAATTTTCTCCTTACTAATTATTGCGTGTGAGATTCTTGTGTGGACTTGGATTGGAGATTTGTGTTGATCGTTGAATTACAGTGGTGTCACGTTTATCAGCTAAAACGATCTGAAATCATCAAACAAAGGAAATACAGATCAGGGAAAGAAAAGGAAGCTGGTGATGATTTGTGTATGATTAGCAATCACGATTAACAAGCCAGCTGAGGAAGAACAATCCCCTGCTAAGAGGTATAGGAAATATATGTGGTGGTCAACTCTGTATAATTAAAGGTTGTGGACTGTGATGTAATATCTTGCGGGAAATGAAAGATTGTTTGCTATGATTAGATATGAATATTCCTTCCATTATGGATGTTGAAGCTTGTATTTAAGGTGATTAAGGATAGATACACATGTGGAGGGAAAAGCTTGAGAAAATTCGGCTTGCTTAAGGGGAGTTCTGCTGCAACCTTCAACGCATTTAGGATTTGTGGACTGCAAAAAGTACCTTTCTTGCCTTTTTAGCTGAGATCAAGTGGTCGATTGTGTAAAAATTGCAGACTTTATCTGCATCTGGGTTCTTTCAGTATGAGGGTCTCCTTTTTCTCTATCTTGAAAATCAGTTAAGCAATAAACAGTGCTCGTTTCTCTTCCACAATTCTTGGGTCATCACCTATCGTATGACCATCTGTAGCACTGGTTTCTTACATTTCATTTTGAGTGTGATACAATCAGTAGTCAACGAAGCGAGCAGTGCCATCAGAGAACGTAGCATCCGACTGAAACCACATATTTTGGATCTGGCTTATAAAAGGAATCGCTTGGACTTAGGATTTAAGGACTTACGGGAGAAAAGAGAATTCTCTTTGATTCCAGATTTGTTTTAACAAGACCTACTGCCCTTTCGAAAATAAGTGTCTAGTTTGAATGCTTTGACTATTCTTCTTAAAAGGATGTCATGTCTTTTAGCCTAGACGATATTAGCAATTGTAACTTAGAGAGAAAAAGTTGTGAAAATCTACAAGCTGTGTCCATAAAATGGGGGGAAGATTGAGGGCTGAGGAATGTATCAATCTGCTTTGTCTGCATCTTTAGGTTTAATACAATGAAGGGGAGCCTTGGAGCAGCACTAAAGTTGACTCTATGTGATCTATAGGTCACGGGTTCGAGCCGTAGAAGCAGCCACTAATGCTTGCATTAGGGTAGGCTGTCCACATTACATCTCTTGGGGTTACATCCCTTCAGGTGCGACCCTTCCTCAGACCCTACATGAATACGGGATGCTTTGTGTACCGGGCTGCCTTTTGTTAGGTTTAATATGATGTTTTGGAAACTAGGGAGAGCCAGTTTCATTACATTCTGTTGCATTAAATGGTTTACTGTGATGCTTTAATTTTGTAAAGTTTCAAGAGATATATGCATGCTTGTAGGTATAGGTTTTCTTCTCCATCTTTCTGATATGCACACCAGCTTTTGGGATCAGAAACAGCCAAATAGAAAGTGAAAATTTGTATATGACATTTCTAGGAGCTGTGTGACTAGTTGATAGGTTATTGGAGGTTGGAGAATAATAGTTATGAACCGAGTCAGTGGAGAGAAGTAGTAGATTAGGATCTTTCCTTGGGACTAAACTACTTTGACAATATATCAGCTCTTTGGATGATGCAGGTAACCATATTTTCCTGTTCCACGAATCATTTATGATACTGCATATGGCTATAATTGGATTTTGTCTTGAAGCCATATTTTTATCCTGAATCAGTCCTGGAAGTTCGTCTGATCTTCTTCTATCTTGTGGATGTTACTAAGCTCTAGGCCCTGTGGTTGTGCATTTACGTAGCTTTTTCAACTGAGAAATGGTGCTCCTTTTTTCCATCAAGAATTCTTTGAACGGCTAAAGGTCCCTATGCTGTTGGAAACTTGAAAATGAAATACCAGCTGACGTATAGAATGGACTTATCCTTCTACACTTGCCAGATATGCTTGCCTTTTACTTGGGAGTTCTATGTGTAACTATATGGCAATTGGCCCTTGCATATGCATTTTTTTATTCTTGTTTCTAATTTATACAAGTTATGATTAGGAAAATGAGGCTGCATCTTTGTGAAAATGGTTGCGCTTAAGTTGTGCTATTCAATATTCAACGTGCTTAGTGTTTTTGAGAAGGACGGGTACCTTATGCACCCTAGATTCTTTGAGCTATGAGAACTAGAAGTAATCACTGATGTCATTTCTGATGTCCAAAGGATGTGTTTCTTTGTGCATACTGGCTCTACAGATTTATATTTATGAAATTGCCAAAAAATCAGAAGAGAATGTTGATAGTCTGGAAAATCTGTAACTTGGGCAGTTCTGGGGCACCTATAAGCTGTAGCCAGTTATTACATCTTTAACAAGCCTTTTGGCATATATTTTAATGCTGACTAGATTGTTTAAAGATGAAGTAGGACTCTCAAAATGTTTAGAGAAAAGTAGCATTACTCAAAGGCAGAGAAGGAGTCGTTCCAATTTCCAACTCTGATGATCGAATAAATGTTGGTCATGGTTTGGGTATATACCAGGCTAAAGCAGCAAAGCTTATATGTGGTCTGAATTTATCTTCCCGTAAGAAATTACCAAAAGGAACTCTTAGTAATCAGATCATCGAGTTGGTAGGTTTTATACCTGATCAAAAACTAATTGAAGAAGCCTAGAATTCTGAATAAGTGGAAGTAAAACGTTTCCCTCCTTTTCTGTAATTCTTTTAATTCATTTTTTATTCTTAAATTTGAGTATTTGCTAGGCGTAGGAACTTGGTACTTAAATAGAGTTAATCAGTGTCAGCTTGGTCCATACTTGAGCTCCTCTCACATGCCCTATTAATTGAAAAGTTTAAATAGTTGGATAATTGGAAAAAAAATATAGTACTAGTTTCCTCTGTAGTCTATGCTTGATGTAGACAATTAGGACAAGTAAGAAGACTTCAACTCGAGCATGATAGGATTATGCGAACAACCTCAAGACAAATAGTAGTTGTTTCGATCTCTAGGTAGCGTGTACACTTTGAAATCTATGCACCAACTCTTTATTTTGACCTTGTAGGTTTGTTCCGTTCAGCATTGAAGTCTGTTAATATTGCATCTTTTCTTGTGCTTGCTTTTGATTTCAATGTAGCATACAACATTGTTATTGAGATGCTTGACTTTTTAAGTGGATTCAAGTTTCAAGATGATTTAACTAGTATGGATTTATGTGTTTGCTATAAAAAACATTGAGTATTGCAGTGTTCCACAGTTTGGGAGTTTGTTTGTCATTTTCCGTTGAAGAATGAAGAAACATGAAATTTATCGAACTTCTTGTTTTAAATTCTACTTGTATTCTTCTTCCCTTGCCTTCCCATTATTGTTATATGTCGTTTAATTTTTGTTATTGGTTTCAAGTTTTAAGATGATTTAACTAACATGGATCGAATGTACTTGCTATAATGCTGAGTCCTAGAGTTGTCTAAAGGTCTTCAATTATGCTCATAATTGTCCTTTGAAGATTTATTAATCACAAATTTAATTATTTGGTTCCAGAAGAGAAGATGGGGAAGCTGCTGGAGTCTATACTGGTGTTTTGGTTCTTACAAGCACAGCAAACGAATTGGTCATGCCGTCCTTGTACCTGAACCTGCGGCACCTGGACCTGCTGTTCCAGTTACTGAAAATCCAAACCGCTCAGCCACCATTGTAATTCCTTTTATAGCTCCTCCCTCTTCTCCTGCATCCTTTCTTCCATCTGATCCTCCTTCTGCTACCCAGTCGCCCGCTGGATTACTCTCTCTCAAATCCTTCTCTATTAATGCATATTCTCCCGGTGGGACTGCATCTATTTTTGCAATTGGTCCCTATGCTCATGAAACACAGTTAGTTTCCCCACCTGTTTTTTCTACCTTCACCACTGAACCATCTACTGCTAATTTTACTCCCCCACCTGAGCCGGTGCATATGACAACACCACCTTCACCAGAAGTGCCTTTTGCTCAGCTTTTGACATCATCTCTGGCCCGCAATAGAAGATATAGTGGTTCCAATTATAAGTTCCCGTTATCCCAGTATGAGTTTGTGCCTTATCAAGATCCAGGAAGTCCAGGTAGTAGTCTAATATCTCCAGGTTCAGTAGTATCAAATTCTGGCACCTCCTCACCTTTCCCTGGCAAATGCCCTATAATTGAGTTCCGTAAGGGGGAACCTCCAAAATTTCTTGGTTATGAACATTTCTCCACTCGCAAATGGGGTTCAAGGGTTGGCTCAGGATCTTTGACACCGAGTGGCTGGGGCTCTAGGCTGGGCTCTGGAACTCTGACCCCAAATGGTGGGATATCAAGGCTAGGTTCTGGGACTGTGACTCCAAATGGTGGGGAACCACCTTCCCGAGATTGTTACATTTTGGAGAACCAAATCTCCGAGGTAGCATCTCTTGCCAATTCTGATAATGGATCTGAAATCGCGGAGGGTGTAATTGATCACAGAGTTTCATTTGAATTAACTGGAGAAGATGTCCCAAGTTGTAGAGAAAAAGAACCGGTCATGTCACATTCGCAACAGACATTGCCAATGGATGTCCCTGCCCCCTCCAATAAGGAAATGAGAAGTAGTAGCTCTATCGTCGAAGAAAAAACAGATGGATTGCCTGAGAAAGCTTCAGAAAGGGGGGACGATCAATGTCATCGGAAACACCGGAATATTACATTTGGTTCGAGCAAAGATTTTGATTTTGACAATGTGAAAATAGAAGTCTTGGAGAAGCACAGTGTTGACTGTGAGTGGTGGACAAGTGACAAGGCTACTGGAAAGGAGTCAAGTATTCAAAACAACTGGACTTTCTTTCCTGTGCTGCAGCCAGGAGTCAGCTAATGCCTGAGAACTAAAGGTTTATATTGGATATCAATGTTAAACGCATGGATGTTACTGCTTCTGATAAAATAAGCTGGATTTGAGGCGAAGATTTCTAATTGCAAAGAAGACAGATAAGAAGAGTGCAAACTTGGCTTTAAAACTGAAGAGTTGGACTTGTTACACATCATGCAGCAGTAATTGGTTTTTGGTGCTCAGATACACACCTGAAAATATTCCTTTGAATAAAGGACTTCTGTATACACCATAGAATATGTTTGAAAAGGAGATGTAAATGATTTTTCCTTAAAATTGAGATGTTTGACCTGGGAATTGTTCACTTCAACTTGTTTACGCTATCAAAGTTATTATGCTACTATAATTTTACAGACGATTGGTGGTAATAACTTGGAAAAAGGAAAAATTCATCGAGGAACCGACACTTTGTTTATGTGAACGCCATACTGTATCCTTTTGTTCAACATCTGGGCGTGGGAATGAGTCTGCTTTACAGAAGATAAAATAGGAGTATTATGATTAGGAATTTAACTTTCTAATCCGAACTTTGTTTATTACATAAAAAGGAATGCGAATTTGGATTTGATTTCTTTTACAGATCAACGTCTTTAACGGTAGGAATTCACTTAGAGTTGGCAACTTGAAATAGACTGAAAACTGAATTTCTGCACGCCTTATATTGTCAAAAGTCCAGGTCTTTATTCGTAAAAAAGAAAAGATAATAAGTACACGTTAGACGTAAAAAGGTTTCAATAAAAAGAACATTGTACGAAATATAAAAACTCAGAGAATCAATATAAAACTAAGGCATGTAACGACTTGAGTCACATAAATACTTTTAGGGATAAAGAATGTAACAACATCAAGAAGATGAAAACAGAGGCGGACCCAGAATTTGAGCATGACGGGGGAACCATTGTCTTGAGCATGCCAATTACTAGTAATCGGCGCAGCTCTATGAAAACATAATGTCTGCTAACTTATCAACAAAACACAAACTTTAATATTATCGAATATCATTATATGCTAATTGATCATAGGCTAAAAACTCGTGTTTTAGTCGTTGTAACAACACTTTAATTATTGCATTTTACAAAAGTTTGAGCTTAAATGTTAATGAATTATACTAAATTCATGTTTTATGCCTTGCAGGAAGCTAATCAGACTTAAGAAATAACTTTGGGATGAATTTGATTGATTTGGGGCTTTGAAGTCTGAGTAAAAGCTAAATAAATCAAGTCGGGATCGTGTCGGGAGTCGCAAAGCAAGCTCGGATAGCAAAACAAATGAAAAAACGAAGCAGCGCAAAATTGCATTCTGCCTCTGTCCAATCCATGTACGCGCCGTGGGGTGCGCCGCGGACGTGTAAAAATCGCAGAATTACTCTATTTCGGTCTAAAAAGGGCATAATTGTCAAAACCCCTTCATACACGATTAAAAAGAAAAAAGCATCCATTATTGACGGACCAGACCTGTTTTGAAAGGGAAAGAGACGAGGAGATCCATCTTGGAGGATCAAAATCAAGAGGAGACAACACTTTGGAGCAAGGATTAAAAGAGTTTTTCTAAACTTTCTTCTAGTATCTATTTATTTGATGTTTATGACTTATATTGTTGATGTTTGTATAATTATGAGTGGCTAAAAACCCAAATATTCTGGGGTTATGGGTGTTAGATGATTGATGTTAATTATGATCTTGAAATTATCGTTAAGGGTTGTTTATTTGATTCTGATGTTAATTATTTTACTGCGTAGCTAACAGTGAAATACTATTTACGAATCTTGAGTTAAACTTGAAAAAGGAAATTCTTGATTGCATATAGAATCAAATAGAGCAAGATCTGGATCCTGGGCATCGGGTGAAAGATTCACAATTAAGATAGAATACTTAATTGCCTTGTTTGGTTGAGAAATAGGATTTGTAAATGCATTTGAGTTAATATTAATACCATAGAAATATAGGTATTAATTTAACTTGAATATGCGCATAAGAAATCGATAGATTCTTATGGGTATTATTAACCCTATAATCAATAACCCAGATAATTCAATAAAAAAATTTTAAGCTAAAAACGTAGCATTATCTCTAGCAAGCCCATAACCCCGGGATATCTCCTTTATTAATTGTTAAAAGAAAAATTCATAAGTGGCGTAGTAACTTTGCGTTGTATTATTGTTTGTCTACTAGTTAAATTGTAAATTGATTATTTATGTATTTTGTGATGAATTAACTTGAATCGATAATTATTTGAGTTTGCATCAGTCGTTAAGTTAATCATAAGTCCTCGTGGGAACGATACTCTACTTATTACTATATTACTTGAAGATCGCGTACACTTGCGTGAGTGTTTTGGTCGCAATAAGTTTTTGGCGCCGTTACCGGGGACTTGGAAATTAGCTACTTGACTAAGTTAAGCTTTTATCAACTATTGGTTTAAGTATTAATTTACAGTTCCCTTTGTTTGTGTCACGCAGGCTCTTCTCTTGAATGCGGAGGAGTAGAAGCACAAGCAATCTCTTCCCTCTTGATCCTGAAATTGAAAGAACACTTCATAGAGCGAGGAAGGAGTTGGAAGCTAGATACAAAACAGAAAGAGAGTTGGACATTTTAGTTCAACCACAACCAACAGTGATGGAAGGATGGAGGGCGTCCGGTGATAGAAGTTGCAAGACCAAATCATGCTAATATGACTCAGGCTATTGTGAAGCCTGATATCACTGGTCACTTTGAGCTTAAACAGTACATGGTACAGCTGATTCAGTCCACTGGGCAATATGTAGGTCTATCTCATGAAGACCCGCAGAGGCACATTCAGAATTTTTTGGAAATCACGGATACTTACAACTATCCAAATGTTTCCAAGGACTATGTCAGGCTAACCTTGTTTCCTTTTTCATTGTTGGGGGAAGCTAAAGAATGGTTGCAGAAGGAGCCTGCTAATTCAATCCATACTTGGGATGATTTAGCAAAGAAATTCTTAATCAAGTTTTTCCCCACTAAAAAGACAAAGTCTTTGCGGAGCCAGATTCTTGGGTTTCAACAACGGGATGGTGAGACTCTTCGCCAAGCTTGGGAAAGATACAAGAAACTACTCCGAGACTGTCCACATCATTGTCAAACTGATGAGGTATTGGGCCATACTTTTGTTGATGGATTAGATGAGACTTCAAAGATGAATCTTGATTCAGCTTGTGGAGGTAGTTGCATGGCGAGACCATATAGTGAAATACAACTTCTGCTAAACAACTTCACTGCTAATGATCATAATTGGCAAGGTGAGGGAGAACCAAGGAGAGCAATGAAACAGAAAGCAGCAGGGGTACTTGAACTTGATGATTTTTCATCCATGAGAGCAGATATAGCAAAATGGGCAAATCAAATGAATAGAATGAGAATAAACCAGACACAACAAATGCAACATGTTTAACAAATGTCGATTTGTTGTGAAATGTGTGGTGACAATCACACAAGTGACATGTGCCCAACGAATCCTGAATCTATTATTATGTAGGACAACAAAGCAGAGGTCCGATGAACCAACAGGCACAATATGGGAACACTTACAATGCAAATTGGAGAAACCATCCTAATTTCTCTTGGGGTAGAAATCAATCAAATCAGAATCAATATAGACCCCAAGGAAATTTTAATCAACCTCAAAGGCCACCCCAGTAGGCAGAAGAAAGTAGAAATGATTTGTTGAAGAAATTGTTGCATGACAAGCAACAACTCAGAACTGATTTCAGAAATATTGAAAGGCAAATGGGACAACTAGCTGTAAATCAAAACACTAGACCTGCAGGTGCTCTTCCAAGTGATACAGAGAAAAATCCGCAAGTTAGTGCAATTACACTTAGAACTGGAAGGGAATTAGAAGAAGTTCCAAAGAAGAGAAAAGACAAGCCTATACCTGAGGGTGAATTGATTCCAAAGCAACACAGGAAGCAAAGAAAGATGATACAGTTTCAGCGCATGTGAATGTTCCAAGGCCACCACCACCTTTTCCATAAAGATTGCAGAAAAAGAATGATGATCGCATGTTCAACAAATTTCTCTCTATGTTGAGTCAGATTCAATTGAATATTCCGTTGGTGGATGCGATTCGTGATATTACAAAGTATGAAAAGTACATAAAAGATATTGTGGCTAACAAGAGGAGATTGACTGATTTGAAACAGTTGCACTTACTGAGGAGTGCACTTCAAGGGTCCAAAATAAGCTTCCTTAAAAGCTTAAGTATCCTGGCAGCTTTACTATCCCTGTGAGAATAGGCAATGTTGATATAGGCCATGCACTTTGTGATTTGGGAGCAAGCATAAATTTGATGATATTGTCCTATTGTGATGTTGCAACTAGCAGACAGGTCCATAGCTTATCCGGAAGGGGTGATTGAAGATGTGCTGCTAAAAATTGGGAAATTCATTTTCCCGGCTGATTTCATTATCTTAGATTTTGAAGCAGATGAAAAAGTTCCTATTATATTGGGAAGACCTCTCTTGGCTACAGGTGATGCTATAATTAAAGTAAGAGAGAGAAAAATGATCATGAGAGTTGACAACGAGGAAGTTGTTTTTAATGTATACAAAGCAATTCAACTTCCTCACCATTATGAAGAATTGTCTATGATATATGTCATGGAGATGGATGAGCAACTTATTACCCCAAGTGTATATTTGAAGGATTCTTTAGAGAAAGCAATTGTGTTGTTCGAGAGTTTGGATATCAATGATGAGGTTGAAGAGATGAAGCATATTTTGAATGCATCATGTGAATATATGAAAGGTTTACATCCCTTTGAACCTTTGAACAGACCAAATGGTCCTCCTCCGAAGCCATCACTTGAAGAAGCTCCAAAATTGGAACTAAAGCCTTTACCTTATCACCTTCATTATGCTTATTTTGGTAATTCTGATACGTTACCTGTTATTATTTCTTCTGACTTATCTGAATTGCAGGAAGAAAAGTTGTTGAGAGTACTATGTGAGCATAAAAGAGCAATTGGGTGGACAATATCTGACATAAGAGGTATTAGTCCAGCTTTTTGCATGCATAAAATTCTCATGAAGGAAGGGCACAAGCCGAGCATAGAACAACAATGCCGCCTAAATCCCAACATGAAAGAGGTGGTAAGAAAAGAAGTGATTAAATGGCTTGATGCAGGTATTGTATTTCCAATCTCTGATAGAAAATGGGTAAGTCCAGTCCAATGTGTTCCAAAGAAAGGAGGAATGACCGTAGTGACAAATAAAAACAATGATCTGATTCCCATTAGAACAGTTACTGGGTGGAGGATTTGCATAGATTATAGAAAATTGAATAATGCCACCCGAAAAGACCATTTTCATCTCCCCTTTATTGACCAAATGCTTGA